GGTAACTGTGAGCCCAGGAAGGTTATATGCGCATCCTTCCAGTTTAGCAACAAGGATAATTCTCTGTGCTAGATTATTTGAACCATCCCATGCTTGAGTACCCAGTCATATTGATTGAACACCTACTATGGGACAGGCCCTTTCATGAACTCTCTCATTTTACCCTCCTCATCTGGGAAATACAGGCACAGAGAGGTGAAACTCTCCCAGCTGGTAAGTGGCCGACACTAAGGCCTGGTATTATGTGAATCTAAAACCTATGAGCCAACAAATGTCTAAAAAACCCCTATTTTTAACTATATAATTTTTTCTTCCTTAAATGTAAGAGAAAGAAAAATATCTTCTTCTCTAGAACTAGAATGAGCAGTTGGAATGGCTATGGTATATATTACTTTCCTTACATATAGACAAAAACTGTACGGGACTAGTCTTTTGGGTGTTAAATCATGAAATATACATTGACCTTTTTTGGATGTAAAGTTGTTGTCCCTCTTCTACCTCCTTAATAAGAGTCAAAAAGCAAAAACTCCTGATGAGAAGGTCCTCCTTTTTCCTCCCAAATCCCCATTCATTGATGAATTGAGGGCAAAACTAGAATTGGAAAACAAAACAAACAAAAAAGAGTAACAATATCACAGCCCCCAAAAGTAATATGCTTAGAAACTGACAATGAAAATGCCACATTTATTGCCCTCTTGAATGACAGGACAGAACTGCCAAAGTTCTTTACCAGGGATTTGGGTCAGCAAAAACAAAAACAAAAAACCAAAACCTTGACTTCTACTCCAGGGCCGGCCTAATTCAATAGTTTTTCAATGATACTTTGGAAACAGTCAATAAATAAAAAGTATGCCTTTCTGGTTGACTTTCACTGAAATCTCTGATTAACTGCCATTCACAACAGAAATACCACATTTAGTTTTGAAAATAACCATTTGAATTCCTTTCTCAAGAAACCATCTGTATGTATGTTCTTTCGGTTCCAACTTTAAGAAGTATCTTGCCCAACTTTTAAAAACTTACATCTGATAACCGATCCTAAAAATAAATTATTACAATAAGAAATAAAGGTTCTAGAGAGGCAATACTGTCCATGAACGTGCCTTCGGATACACGTGTCTCCTAAGGCCATGAGAGCAGAACCAGGTCCTGGTGAGGCGATAGTCACACTTACATAACATCCTGGCCATGAGGGCTCTACGTCTGTAGAAAGGCTTGTTCTCAAGGGGAGTTATGTAATCTCTTCTTATTCCCTGGAGAATTTTCCTCAAGGGAGGGGAGGAAGAGACTACTATCTGTCAAGGGTAGTTTGGCTGCAGAGCTGCCGAGGGCACGAGCACGCGTTCGGTGGCAGCTGCCGAGACAAAATCAGAGTCTGGGCCACTTGCAACATCTTTGGAGTTCAATCGCGATCACTACTGTATTTGGCCACAGAAAGGAGGGGCCGTTCCAATCTTCCTTACAATTGCTGCCCTAATTATTACATTATACTTTCACAATTTAATCCCTTTACTTGCCTCACTGCATTTTTGGGGCTAAGCGAGCACCACAGTGTGACGCCTGATGATGTAGCTAGCGGGGTAGCCTTACTGAGGGCTGCCCAGCTGCCAGTTACAAGCCACAGCCAGGTGGGCAAGTACAGAGTGCTAATCTGGACAGTGACATCTCTGTCTCCTGCTCAAAATCCTTGAAACTTGCTCTCTCCAATATGGAGTAAAACTGAGCACATACATCAATGCCAAGAATCACCCTGTGCTTTGCTCTGCTAAGCTTTTGGTAGTACAGCGGTAGCCTAAAGAATAGTCATGCACGGAATTCCAATTGTTCTATTCTAATTATTGTTCAGTAAATAACTATTGCATAGCTATTAATATTTAAGCTTTAGGATTTTTTTTTAAAAAAACAATGGTCAGGCAATTTTTTCTCATAGTTATTCTATCTTTACAAAACATGCTAAAGACACAGCATTTAATACAGCTACCCTAAAAATTTGGCATTTCCTTAAAGCAGGAGACATTTACCCACAGAATTTACCTCAAGGCACAAACTTTGGGAATACAGCTTTAATAAAATGTTGGTAAGATGAAACTCTAGTCGGCATTCTGCGTGACTCACAGTAGGTTCTCAGTAAATATTTGTTGAATAAATGGGAGCAGTTTTCACATTGAGAACCTCTTGCTTATATTAGCATACGCACGGTACTTGTTCATTTATCCCAAAATATTTGCTTATCCTTGTGTAGTTAGACCCAGAGCTATGTAAACTGATTTAACAAAATCAAATTACTAACAGTTTAAATTTCTGGTACTCTGTAACCATAAGGATTATAACACTGTTGAACACTGACTGGTAATAACCCAAAGATTTGAGATGCATTTCCATTCACAAGGCTTGTGATATTAGTAAACAGGCAGAAGACATTTTTCAAATGCCCTGAAGTGACCCAAAGCCTTGTGCATAGACCACCATTGTTTTCAGCTTACTCACTTCACAGGTGATTTTCTATCTCATTTTACTCTTAAGCATTCCAAGAAGTAGGTATTAATGCCTTCAATTTATAGATAATGGTAAAGAAAATAAATATCTGGTGGATGAAGGATTTTTATAAGAAAATACTCGATGCCTGTGGCTCAAGTGGCTAAGGTGCCAGCCACATACACCTAAGGTGGTGGGTTAGAATCTAGCCCAGCCCTTCAAACAACAACGATGGCTGCAACCAAAAGATACCCAGGCGTTGTGGTGGGCGCCTGTGGTCCCAGCTACTTGGGAAGCTGAGGCAGGAGACTCGCTTGAGCCCAGGAGTTGGA